CGGCGAGGAGGCGGGAGGGGGCGGGGCCTGCCAGGGGGCGGGGGGAGGGTCTTGCGCCGGGGCCAAGTGGGGCGCGCGCTGGGGAGAGCGGGAAGCTAAGGGGGCACGAGATGGGCCTGGGGGCCGGAGGGGAGAGTTGGGAGGTCTTGAGAGAATGGGATGTTGTGGTGAAACAGAGGTACCTGAGGCAAAATCTGGGGGAGCCACGGGTCATGGTGAGGTGTGGAAACTGGAGTGATGAGAGAACCTGGAACCCGGACTAGCCAATGAGGGGACAGCATGCGAGTCAGGCCTAAGTCCTGAGCTCTTTTGCGTATCCTTCTTCCTAACAGTGTAAATGAGCAAAGATGGATCAGGAAGGTGGGGGAGATGGGCAGAAGGCCCCGAGCTTCCAGTGGCGCAACTACAAGCTCATTGTGGATCCTGCCCTGGACCCTGCCTTGCGCAGGCCTTCTCAGAAGGTGTACCGCTATGACGGAGTCCACTTCAGTGTCAACGTGAGTGCCCTAGGCGTTGCCTTGCTATCTAGGGAACTCCTGGCTCCTCTTCTGTTACTCCGTTTACTACTGAGCTCTTCCATGCCCATAGACTGCCTTCTCAAAAGTGGGCAATTGAACCCAGGTCTTCTGCATGTCGGTCTCCAAATGGACTTGTTAGAGCTCAACGACCTGGTTTCACCCTCAGCTATTTTTCTGTTCCTGCTTTCTTTCTAGGACTCAAAGTACATACCAGTCGAAGACCTCCAAGACCCTCGTTGCCATGTCAGGTCTAAAAACAGAGACTTTTCCCTCCCAGTCCCTAAGTTTAAGGTAGGTGTCTGCTGGCCTTCTGGTGTGGTGACCCTTGGAGGGGGTGGAGGGTCAGTCCTGGCACTCTAGTCTTCATGTAGCCTAGTAAAAGTATTTCGTAATGCAAGGGGCACGGCTAGATCTGACACCCTCTGAGGCTGTGAGACAGAGTTGTTCTGCAGAGGAGATATACTTCTAGAAAGGTATAGTTGAGATGTCGCAAGTTATCCTGGTGGCAGGGGTTTTGATTTCTTGAAGGGTGAAGTAAAGACAGGTTTAGCTGCTGCATCTGTCTATTGCTGTGTGTTCCTGAACAGTATGACAGTGGGATATCCCGGTGCCCATGCCTCCCTGGAATCTTCTGTCTCTCCTCGTTTGGTCATTGTGTGATCCTCCATCTTATTTCCTCAGAGGATTTCCATTTTTCAGTCTAAGCTGGATACTCATCAGGCCTTGAACTGGACCTAGAATATTGGTGGCTCTTAATTTCCTTCACTAGTTTTTAATTCTTCTTTCTTTCTGATTAGATTGTGTTGCTCTCTCACCCTTCTTTATACATCCTATTCTTTTTATCTGGGTACACTTTCTCACCCCGGCTTTAGATGTTACCTACATGTCGATGCTTTCCGAAGTCTGTATCTAGCCAGCATCGTTTCTTGAACTCTAGACTGCTCCCATAGACATCTCAAACCCAAGAGGTTTACAACAAATTATCTTTACTCCCTCAGTCTTGCTCTCTCTATCCACTGTCTACAGCTGCACAGGCTAGAAACCTGGGGGTCATCCTGTGATCGTCTCCTGCCTTAACTCTTGCATAGTCTGTCACCAAGTCCTGCCAGTTTTTTCCCCTTTTTATCTTAGTCTTTCTATTCCCATTACAGTTGCTTTAATGCCAATTGTATTCATTATACCTGGTTTCCTTGCTGCCATTCTATTATGCTCCACCCTGCAGTCATTTCTGTTTTTGATTATACTGTTCTCTTATTTTACTTTTGTCGCCAAGTGGTCATTTTTGAAAATCATCATGTATGGTTATTGACCTGACCAAGCTTTATCCTCTGCGTTAAAACCAGACCCATGCAGAAGATCCACACTGTATACTTGGCAGCTTTTAGAAAGTGCCAGGTTTTACAGTTCCATGTTCTAGAAATGCTTGTCCTTTTGGTGAACTCCTATTTTTCTAGAAAGCCCAAAATAATGGGACCATCTTAATGAATCTTTCCTGTTTCCCACTCTGTACGCAGATTTTCTTTAGGCTTCCAAACTGTCTATATCTCTGCTGACACTATACTGTTGTGATTGTACATGTGTCTTTCTATCTTGTCTCCTTGTCTGAATGGGAACCTCTTTTTTCCCCTCTCTGTATTTCTAGTGCCCAGTCCATGGTGGTCACTTGGTAAAAGCTGAGCTGTGTATTACTTCTCTGCAACTATCGGGTTGTCAGAAAAGTTATGACACATCTTTGCATAGAAAAAAGTACATCGTGATTTTTCCCACAACCTAATAGTTGCTAACATGTAGGTTTATTCCTTGGTTTGTACCTTTTTGTTTGTGGTTCTTGCCATTGTTGTGTGGTGAGAAGAGTTCAGAGAGGAAAGGGGTCATGACTGTGGTGTCCCTTGTTGTCCCCTTCCCTTGTTCCTCAGTTTCTTTCTCAACCTCATGGATCTTGTTAAAGTTCCCAAAGGGTAAAGGGACAGTGGTTAGTATTGAGATCCCAGACCAACTCTTGTCCTCTCCACAGCTGGATGAGTTCTATATCGGACAGATCCCACTGAAGGAAGTGACTTTCGCAAGGCTGAACGACAACGTGCGGGAGACCTTCCTGAAGGATATGTGCCGAAAGTATGGCG